ATCCCAAACACACCGCCCGGGCAACGAAGGAGTGGCTTCGTAAGAAGCATTTCAAGGTCCTGGAGTGGCCTAGCCAGTCTCCAGATCTCAACCCCATAGAAAATCTTTGGAGGGAGTTGAAAGTCTGTGTTGCCCAGCGACAGCCCCAAAACATCACTGCTCTAGAGGAGATCTGCATGGAGGAATGGGCCAAAATACCAGCAACAGTGTGTGAAAACCTTGTGAAGACTTACAGAAAACGTTTGACCTGTGTCATTGCCAACAAAGGGTATATAACAAAGTATTGAGAAACTTTTGTTATTGACCAAATACTTATTTTCCACCATAAATTCATTACAAATCCTACAATGTGATTTTCTTGAATTTTTTTCCTCATTTTGTCTGTCATAGTTGACGTGTACCTATGATGAAAATTACAGGCCTCTCTCATCTTTTTAAGTGGGAGAACTTGCACAATTGGTGGCTGACTAAATACTTTTTTTCCCCCACTGTACTACCAAGTCTGATCTCTTTTTCTTTTACTAGCTCTGACATTGCTGATAGCTACAGTGCCTTGGAAAAGTATTCATCCCCCTTGCCGTTTTTCCTATTTTGTTGCATTACAACCTGTAATTTAAATAGATTTTTATTTGGATTCCATGTAATAGACATACACAAAATAGTCCAAATTGGTGAAGTCAAATGAAAAAAATAACTTGAATAAATAAATAATGGAAAAGTGGGGCCTGCATATGTATTCACCCCCTTCGCTATGAATCCCCTAAATAAGATCTGGTGCAACCAATTACCTTCAGAAGTCACATAACTAGTTAAATAAAGTCCACCTGTGTGCAATCTAAGTGTCACATGATCTGTCACATGATCTCAGTATATATACACCTGTTCTGAAAGGCCCCAGAGTCTGCAACACCACTAAGCAAGTGGCACCACCAAGCAAGCGGCACCATGAAGACCAAGGAGCTCTCCAAACAGGTCAGGGACAAAGTTGTGGAGAAGTACAGATCAGGGTTGGGTTATAAAAAAATATCTGAAATGTTGAACATCCCACGGAGCACCATTAAATCCATTATAAAAAAATTGAAAGAATATGGCACCACAAGAAACCTGCCAAGAGAGGGCCGCCCACCAAAACTCACGGACCAGCCAAGGAGGGCATTAATCAGAGAGGCAACAAAGAGACCAAAGATAACCCTGAAGGAGCTGCAAAGCTCCACAGCGGAGATTGAAGTATCTGTCCATAAGACCACTTTAAGCTGTACACTCCACAGAGCTGGGCTTTACGGAAGAGTGGCCAGAAAAAAGCCATTGCTTAAAGAAAAAAATAAACAAACACGTTTGGTGTTCGACAAAAGGCATGTGGGAGACTCCCCAAACAAATGGAAGAAGGTACTCAAAATTGAGCTTTTTGGCCATCAAGGAAAACGGTATGTCTGGCGCAAACCCAACACCTCTCATCACCCTGAGAACACCATCCCCACATTGAAGCATGCTAGTGGCAGCATCATGCTGTGGGGATGTTTTGCATCGGCAGGGACTGGGAAACTGGTCAGAATTGAAGGAATGATGGATGGCGCTAAATACAGGGAAATTCTTGAGGGAAACCTGTTTCAGTCTTCCAGAGATTTGAGACTGGGAGGTTCACCTTCCAGCAGGACAATGACCCTAAGCATACTGCTAAAGCAACACTCAAGTGGTTTAAGGGGAAACATTCAAATGTCTTGGAATGGCCTAGTCAAAGCCCAGACCTCAATCCAATTGAGAATCTGTGGTATGACTTAAAGATTGCTTTACCCCAGCGGAACCCATCCAACTTTATTATTATTTCACCTTTATTTAACCAGGTAAGCCAGTTGAGAACAAGTTCTCATTTACAACTGCGACCTGGCCAAAATAAAGCAAAGCAGTGCGATAAAAACAACAACAACACAGAGTTACATATGGAAAACAAAAACGTACAGTCAATAACACAATAGAAAAAAAGAAAATCTATATACAGTGTGTGCAAATGTAGTAAGTTATGGAGGTAAGGCAATAAATAGGCCATAGTGCAAAATAATTACAATTTAGTATTAACACTGGAGTGATAGATGTGCAGAAGATGATGTACAAATAGAGATACTGGGGTGCAAATTAGAAAAATAAATAACAATATGGGTATGAGGTAGTTGGGTGGGCTAATTTCAGATGGGCTGTGTACAGGTGCAGTGATCGGTAAGGTGCTCTGACAACTGATGCTTAAAGTTAGTGAGGGAGATAAGAGTCTCCAGCTTCAGAGATTTTTGCAGTTCGTTCCAGTCATTTGCAGCAGAGAACTGGAAGGAATGGCGGCCAAAGGAGGTGTTGGCTTTGGGGATGACCAGTGAGATATACCTGCTGGAGCGCATACTACGAGTGGGTGTTGCTATGGTGACCAATGAGCTAAGATAAGGCGGGGATTTGCCTAGCAGTGATTTCAAATAAAATAAAATTTTATTTGCCACATGCGCCGAATACAACAGGTGTAGACATTACTGTGAAATGCTTACTTACAGCCCTTAACCAACAATGCATTTATTTTTTATAAAAAAAGTAAAATAAAACAACAACAACAAAAAAGTGTTGAGAAAAAAAGAGCAGAAGTAAAATAAAATAACAGTAGGGAGGCTATATACAGGGGGGTACCGGTGCAGAGTCAATGTGCGGGGGCACCGGCTAGTTGAGGTAGTTGAGGTAATATGTACATGTGGGTAGAGTTAAAGTGACTATGCATAAATAATTAATAGAGTAGCAGCAGCGTAAAAAGATGGGGTGGGGGTGGAGGTGGGGGGGCAGTGGAAATAGTCCGGGTAGCCATGATTAGCTGAGTCTTATGGCTTGGGGGTAGAAGCTGTTGAGAAGCCTTTTGGACCTAGACTTGGCGCTCCGGCACCGCTTGCCGTGCGGTAGCAGAGAGAACAGTCTATGACTAGGGTGGCTGGAGTCTTTGACAATTTTGAGGGCCTTCCTCTGACACTGCCTGGTGTAGAGGTCCTGGATGGCAGGAAGCTTGGCCCCAGTGATGTACTGGGCCGTACGCACTACCCTCTGTAGTGCCTTGCGGTCGGAGGCTGAGCAGTTGCCATACCAGGCGGTGATGGAACCAGTCAGGATGCTCTCGATGGTGCAGCTGTATAACTTTTTGAGGATCTGAGGACCCATACCAAATCTTTTCAGTCTCCTGAGGTGGAATAGGCTTTGTCGTGCCCTCTTCACGACTGTCTGGTGTGTTTGGACCATGATAGTTTGTTGGTGATGTGGACACCAAGGAACTTGAAGCTCTCAACCTGTTCCACTACAGCCCCGTCGATGAGAATGGGGACGTGCTCAGTCCTCTTTTTTTACCTGTCGTCCACATGGTTCGTACCATGCTGATATGATGGGCTGGGCATTGTCGAACAACAGCCTCACCACCTTCCTGTAGAAAATCAACTGAACCTCCTCGTGCTTTATCCTGTCGGCCGACACATTGTAAATGTCTCCCATCAAGCATAAATTCAAGAGGTTCTCCAAAGCCAGCAGAGCTAAGCTCCAGTTTTCACCATCAAACGTGTCTTTGAGAGTCACCTGGTTTGTGAAATCCAAGGCGGTGATTAACTGTGTCAAAAAAGCAGAGTTGTTTATTATCCTCTCCTTTACAGTAGATGTCCAGAGAGAACCCGTCCAGAGAGAACCCGTCCAGAGAGAACCTGAAGAGCAGCGGGAGGGAACTTGGCCTGGCAGCATAATGGAGAGTGGTGTCACAGTACCGTTGTGCACAGAGCTTTGTGAGTATGGAATTGATTGGGGAGAGTAGGCCCTTCCCTGCCAGCCCGTTCTTCATCCCTGGCTCCTCCTTATAGGCCTGGAGATGGTCTGGCAGGAAGAGGACTGCAGGATGGTGTCCACCTTACCACGGATGTCCCTAATCAGGTGCTGGCGAACAAGTAGGTCATCCTCGGCCGTCCAGGACCTGGTGCTGGAGCATGTGTGTTGTGACGTGGAGAAACACACGGTTGGCGTTGTCCTGCTGCCTCTGGACCGTGAGGTAGCTGCTCAGGGTAAGAAGAAGGACCTCAAACACCTGGGGTGTGAGGGGGTCTGTGGTTTGCTCTGACACAGCTTGGCCAGCAGCTCCACCAGTAGCTTGTACTTAGTGGTGCATGTTACAGAGAGGACTGGGGAGGACAGGATGCCCTGACAGCAGCTCAGCACAGTGGAGACAGACGCTGAGGGGGTCTCTGATGCAACTCCTGAATCCTTTCAATTATAACCTGGAAAGAAAAATGGTCAGAAATCATAACATTCAATAAAACACTTGTACCATCAGTGCAAAACCATCAAGCTTCAGTTTGTCCACCCAGGGTGTCTTGGGGTTTTTCAGCTTCAAGTGAATACCAGAGTAAATGGAAGCCATACCTGAAAGCTGGTCTGTGGAAAGGGAGAGATCAACCTGAGTCAATACAATTCTGAGACTAAAAGATGTAATCTTATTTGGCCAGTAGAAGGAGACGTTTCCTTAAAGTTAAATTAAGACAACTTGGAATAATAGAGCTGGTGAATGGACTTGAAATAGGAAGTATCTTCATGATTGTGAAATATAAATGTACCATGCCTGGAGTGTACTGGTCAAATAAACTTGTTTTTTGCATGTAGCATGTAGCCAATCAATTCAAATCAAGCTTTATTTATACAGCTTATTTCAGACATGCAACACAATGAGCTTCACAAGGAAAAAGGAAAAGCAAAGCTAAAAAGGTGTGTTTTAAGACCTCTTTTATAGTTTTATGGTTTATTCACATTTGAAAAGCCGGAAATAGCGTCCTAAAGAGGGCTCTGAAACGCTAGCGCACTTGAGTTTTGAATTATTTTGCTTTTCTGTCTGAGTCGCTCGCTAACTGGCTTGGGTGCACCAGAATGGGACTGATGCTGTTGTCAAGATGTCCAGGAGTACATCTTTTGAAACGCAACGTTCAATCCCGAACACATAGACTAGTTTGGTTAGAATGCCAGACGTCCAGGGGACAACGAAAGGGGCGAGAGGTGAGTGGGAAAAGCCTTTGGCACGCGCTTCGCTTTTACACCCGAGGAGATGCACCTCTCTCGTGCCTTGTGTTCCACTTGGACAGTTCCCCATACCGCGCCATTTGTTGAGGAGCTCATGGACAACCACGGTCAACTTTGCAAACTACAGCTCCTCAACAGACTCAGAACAAGCAACAGAAACGAAACAAACCCCAACTTGGATACCCACTGAGGATGTCAAAAGGATATTACAACTTGCCCACCCTGAGCGCTTGCGACTGTCAGGTAGGTCATGTCACTGGTTCACTGTACCACCACTGACAACTTCTAAAATGACAAACATTTGTATTTATTATGGATCCCCATTAGCATGCAGCAGCTACTCTTCCTGGGGTCAGGCAAAATTAAGGAAGTTATACAATTTTAAAAACATTACAATACATTCATAACAGATTTCACAACACACTAAGTGACACATTACACTGAAATAACAATGTTATCACTAACTTGTGCCTGTATAGGGTTGACTTCATTACATCCCTTATTCCTTCCTTAGGCCCTATTTGTTGTCATGAAAGTTTCCCTTTTTAAACAATAATGCAGTAACTTGTTTTGACTCTTATATTTTGTTATCTATGCTATCCTCCACAGCGGCTGTGGGTTTCCTGGTGGTTTCCAGTGCTGTCACCATGTCGGCGCCCTTCTTTCTTGGCCAGGTTATTGACACCATCTACTCCAGCTCCTCAGAGGACTTCAGTGCCTCCCTCTGCTCTCTGTGTTTCACGCTCTTAGGGGTGTTCCTCTGTGGGGGCGCTGCCCGTGTCTACCTCATGCAAATCTCAGGTGAGTGTCACCATTTGCTTCCAGTGCATGCAGAGTAGGTTTCCATAGCAATTACACAGGTGACTGTATGAGGGAACTTAACTTACTATCTCTGAAAATTGTCATGACTGTTTACACTTTTGATGCCATACAGAGGAAATGTATAAAACAATGATGTTATGACTCTTGCAGGGCAACAGATTGTGAGAAATCTAAGTGTAACCCTATTCTCCTCCATTCTGAGGCAGGAGGTGGGTTTCTTTGATAAGACTCGTACCGGGGAGCTCATTAACCACCTGTCTGCGGACACGGCTTTGGGGTGTTAAAGACCCTTTTTCTCTGTACTGGGGTCAGTTCTAAGATTCTGAGTCTCATCAGAATGCAAGTCAACTGGTTTATTGTCATGAGGAAGAAGATGTGATTTTTTTCATCCCTTCAGGTAGGCTTTCCTCGGGTGGACACAAGACTTTAAAAATCCTAACATCGCTGAGCCTTTCACATTAAACGACCGTCTTTCCTGTAGTTTGTTGTCTTGCCAACATTGTGGTGCGCACACTAAACGATGTGGCACAGACGGTGGTCACACACTACAATATTATTCACTTGGTTGTGAGGATTCTCGATATCATGCTGTCTCACAAAAACATTGTGATTAGATTTAGCGTAGCTACGAGCTATGGCTCAAAGCAGCCTCATAAACTTTCAGTCAGACATTCACCATACAGAGTTTAATTGAATACCATTCCTTGTGAACTTCAGAGCTGTAACGATTTGACACTTTCACTTTGGTTAAAGGCAAGTCCAAACGCATACTAGTAGTAGTCATCGCTCCTGCTCAAGAGTCTACACATTCTGGGTGATGCTAAACGTAATCTCACTCGCTTCTTCTCTGCTGAGCTCTCATTGGCTGTTGCTGATCACCGTTCTCAAAACTTGTTGTAAATCTCACACTACAAGAGCATTGCAGATTTTGCGCCAATAAAATCAAATATGTTTGAAAATATCTATGTATGTTATGTTGTAAATGTGAATATGAATTAATGCCCCCATTACAGATTACTCTGACGTTTTTCTTGCGCTGTAACCAATGATTTATGAAAACTTGCTTAGTGGGTTGATGTCCTCATTGTGGTTATACATACGTGTTTAATACGTTTTATGTACACACTGTATTAGAATATTTATGAAATGCACATTGTTATATTTGGTAGCACTTGTTTTCCCTCGACTCCAACCCCATTCGATGCATGGAACGGATGTGGGTGGGGCTATGTCTACATAAGGGTGCTAATTAAAAAAATTCACAAAAGCTCTGATGAAGGCCTTGAGGCCGATACTTAAAGCTTATTAAAGAGCAGGGATACTATCAAGAACAGTGTGCGGGTTTCATCTTGTTCAACTGTTGCCATGCACCTACAAAAGAGATAGCTCAGATGTGCGAGTGCCTTTTTAAGTTAGATTTTGTGCCAGTAAAATCAAATATGTTTTAAAATATATGGACGTCTGGGACTGCTCAAAGACGAGATCGGTAGCCCTCAGATTGTGTCTTTGACCCGAAAACATTAAACGAGCGTAGGTGACAGCCGCGTGCCCCGAGTAGGCAACGACGTGGGGATTTTGTCTCCAATCTCAAAAACTTGTCTGGGAAAGCTAAATCATGGCCAAATCGTGTGGTGTACACCCGGCTTACATTTCTTCATTGTTCTGGTTACTCTACGTAGATTGGTTTGACCAAAGTTCTTTCTGTCACAACAGGAAATTAGAATTTAGCGAGTTACTTCCATGAGTTTCTTCCTTGGTTACTGTACACGTTTCATTTCAGTCACTTCCTGAAACAAATTATGCATAGCAAAATATCCATAACACATTATTATACTAAATATAGTAAAGTTGAATAAGTTGATAAATATGTTCACACATCCTCTTTAGTCATTAGTGGCTTTACAGGTTCCAAAGGTAACAGAGCAAGCTTAAAAGACGAGCTAAATTGCCTCATGTTTCCTGGCCTCTCCTTCCCTCTCTGCCAACAGTTTTACGTGTCACCCAGTTTAGCAACCTTTGTGCTGATGATCGTGCCTCCTATGGCTGGCCTGGCTGTCATATACGGGAGATACCTGCGCTCCATATCCAAACGCACACAGGACTCTCTGGCCGAGGCCACACAGGTAAGATAAGGCCTGCTAACGGCTCATCATTACAGTCATTACTGAGGCTGTGTTTCCCCTAGATTACTCTTCAAGCAGAGTACAAATACAACCTAATCAACATCCGGGTCTTTTAACCCCAAAATGTTGAATTGAAACCAATTGAACAGACTGAGACTCTGTTGTTCTGTTCTCATGTAGTTGGCAGAAGAGCGTATCAGCAACATGAGGACAGTTCGGGCGTTTGGTAAGGAGCTGACAGAGGTGGCTAAGTATACAGAGAAGGCCAACTACATTCTCCACCTGGCCAAACAGGAAGCCGTTTTGCTGGCCGGGTTCTTTGGCGTGGTGAGCATTCAGCCATTCAATGTTGCCCAATTTCCCCTAAAGAGATGGTTGACATTTTGTCAATGACATCAGTTGAAATGTACTCCACCCCTTTGGTCTCTTGAAAGACAGGAATCACAGAGTTGTGTGATCTGTGATGGAAGCTTCTGCTTTTCTGGCCTGTATTCCTTCAGGGGCCATTGGGCTGTAACTGCTTTCCTATGGGTCTTTTTTAGACAGGACTCAGTGGCAACATCATCATCTTCTCTGTGCTGTATAAGGGAGGGCTATTGATGGCCACCGAACACATAACTGTGGGAGAGCTCTCTTCCTTCCACATGTACGCCTTCTGGGTGGGCATTAGCATTGCAGGTAGGGTGCATATAATTGTCTCATTGCCTATCCATGCATTCTGAGGAAAACCCCAGCCCGGGGCGGCAGGTAGCTTAGTGGTTAAGAGCGTTGTGCCAGTAACCGAAAGGTCGCTGGTTCTAATCCCCAAGCCGACTAGGTGAAAAATATGTCGACGTTCCCTTGAGCAAGGCACTTAACCCTAATTGCTCCTGTAAGTCACTCTGGATAAGAGTGTCTGCTAAATGACTAAAATGTAAATTAATCAATGAACAAATCACACTTAAATAAAAAAACGGATTCTCTATCTCTGAGCTTCTGTTTAATTGTCTGTTTTGTTGAACAGGGATGAGCTCGTTCTACTTTGAGCTGATGAAGGGTTTTGGAGCAGGGGCACGGCTGTGGGAGCTATTGGACAGGAAGCCTGAGTTTCCCCTTAATGGTCAGCATCATGCCCCTCCATTCTAGACCACACTGAGACAGCATTGTGCAAAACACCTTAGACTCCTCTGCATCTAAACTGGCATGTCCATGTTCCTCCTCATTTTTCTGTAGAGGGTATTGTGCTGAGGCCAGAGCAACTGAAGGGTAATCTGGAGTTCCAGAATGTCTCCTTTGCCTACCCAACCCACAAAGATGCCCCTATCTTCCAGGACCTTAGTCTCTCCGTGCCTGCCGGCTCTGTCATGGCGGTGGTAGGCCCGAGCAGATCGGGCAAATCCACCCTGGTCTCCCTGCTGCTCAGGCTCTATGACCCAGACTCAGGTGAGGACTGCAGCCAGGAGGTCATCTCTTACAGCAGCTTCATGTCACTGTCTCTTCCATTTCATCAACAGTCTTCTGATTTTGAGATCCCTGTTTTGCTGTGTAGGTGTGATCACTATTGACGGGCATGATGTGAGAGATTTGAATCCTTATTGGCTGAGGAGTCACATTGGAACTGTTAGTCAGGTAATTGGTCACATGATGACATTATTATTAGTTGACCACATGTTCCCATTGTTGTGGCTGAGCTGTGTTGTGACATGTGGTCTGTCCCTGTACTGTTCTCCCTCTGTGGGTCTGCAGGAGCCTGTGCTCTTCTCCTGTTCCATTGATGAGAACATTGCCTATGGAGCTCCCGACTCTGACACGGTCACAGTTCAGGAAATCCAGCAGGCTGCACAGATCGCCAATGCCTACGAGTTTGTCCACGGTTTCCCCGAAGGCTTTGACACTGTGGTGGGAGAGAAGGGTGTTCTACTGTCAGGTAAATACATGGATTTCCTAATGATGGTGTTGGACTTCACTGGATATTCTCAACCCTGAATGCTCTGACTACAGACAGATATGGGTTTTGTTATGGAGTTCTTCTTCATAGCTAAAACCATAGCTTCTTTAACAGCTGGAATGGAATTACTTATTTTACTTGAACCAACAGGTGGTCAAAAACAGAGAATTGCTATTGCAAGGGCTCTGCTGAAGGTAATTTAATTACACCCGATTACATGCATCAACAATTGATGTTTTTAATCATTTGAGCTAATGTAATAATGTTTCCTCCCTTCAGAACCCCAAAATACTTCTACTTGATGAGGCTACAAGGTAAGAGAAGTGCAGAATCACATCACGTTTCATTTCAGTCACTTCCTCTTCATTTTGGACAGTTAAGCAAGGTCAATGAGCTGGGTGATGTCAAAGGTCAAACAACCCAACAATATAATGTGAGCTATAACTTGAGGTTACTTGCATAACCCTGGTTGTCTGATAACAAGTGAGGTCTCTCACGTCCCAATAGTGAGAGACCGAAACAAGTATTTGAAGAGAACTCAATGGATCTCTGATCTAATTCTAATCTATTCATTTTTATTAAATAAATAAACGTTTTCCCCCTATTCCTCAGTGCCCTGGATGCAGAGAATAAGTTCCTGGTCCAGGAGGCTCTGGAGCGGCTCATGGATGGGCGCACTGTGCTGATCATCGCCCACCGCCTCACCACCATCCAGAACGCTGACGCCGTCCACGCCGCAAAGCTGTCATCAAGGCAAAGGGTGGCTACTTTGAAGAATCTCAAATATAAATTATATTTTTAGTTGTTTAGCACTTTTTTGGTTACTACATGATTCCATATGTGTTATTTCATAGTTTTGAAGTCTTCACTATTATTCTACAATGTAGAAAATAGTACAAATAAAGAAAAACCCTGGAATGACTAGGTGTGTCCAAACTTTTGACTGGTACTGTACATTGTCATAAATGTAGAAGATAATCAAATAACATATTTCACTGCAGTTGATAAAGCAATGAATGAACCGCCACTGATCAGTTAGGAAAATGATGTGCATATCCATGAAAATATTCTGCTATTTTACCTGTTTAGTCACTGGCTATAATTTTATTGTGATGGAATTTATGCAGGATATTCGATTTACATAAGATATAATCACAGAATTCATCTTCAAAGGTGGGTCTTTCTTTGCTACCAGTTTGGTGAACATGTCTGAACAATCTAACATTCAGTAGGTAAAATTTGACCAAATCTGTGCGTTGCCCCAGCTAACACACACCTGACTCCAATAATCAACTAATTATGATATTCAGTTTAGAATGCAATTAGTTTAATCAGCTGTGTTTGCTAAGGATGGGGAAAAAGTGTGACACCATTCCGGCCCCCCGAGAACTGGAGATGCCAGTCCCTGCTGTAATATTAATCACTTTTACTAATAGCTACATTTTCTCCCCGTTAAACCGATTCCACTATCCCTATATCACTATTGTATTCAGATGTTTTGGGGCATAAGTCCTATATAAATGTTCTCTACACAAGGCTCTTGGGTAAAATCAGTATGTTGTAATAATGTAATAAAATATTATATTTTGATGATTTTGTGTTCTAAATCATTAGGCATCTGTGAAAATAAAATCGAATCGATATTCTGTGAATACTTTTTCAAATAGACCCCCACTAATAGCCCTACTACTACAGCAGTTGCAGTATTGAAGTTACATGACAGGTTTATATTTTGGTTCTGTATCATACTGTCATCGCATATTCTCAGAAAATATTTCCTCTTACCAAAAGAGGGTGCTATTACCCTGTTGCTTTTTTCTCTCCAATCTGTGTGTGAAGTGTGTTTAAAAAAGTTATAATTTTAACTGAACTACACTGAACAAAAATATAAACCAACATGTAAAGTGTTGGTTCCATGTTTCATGAGCTCAAATAAAAAATCCCAGAAATGATCCATATGCACAAAAAGCTTTCTTTCTCTCAAATGTTGTGCACAAATTTGTTTACATCCATGTTAGTGAGCATTTCTCCTTTGCCAAGATAATCCATCCACCTGACAGGTGTGGCATATCGAGAAGCTGATTAAACAGCATGATCATTACACAGATGCACCTTGTGCTAGGTACAATAAAAGGCAATATGCAGATTTGTCACACAACACAATGCCTCCAGAGTGGTGCAGTAGTCTAAGGCAGTGCTAGTTGTGCCACTAGAGATCCTGGTTCGAATCCAGGCTCTGTCGTAGCCGGCCGTGACCGGGAGACCCATTGGGCGTCGCATAATTGGCCCTGCGTCGTCCAGAGTAGGGGAGGGAATGGCCGGCAGGGATGTAGCTCAGTTGGTAGAGCATGGCGTTTGCAACGCCAGGGTTGTGGGTTCAATTCCCATGGGGGGTCAGTATATAAAATAATGTATGCACTCACTAACTGTAAGTCGCTCTGGATAAGAGCGTCTGCTAAAATGTCAAGAATGTCCACCAGAGCTGTTGCCAGAGAATTGAATGTTCATTTCTCTACCATAAGCTGCCTCCAACGTTGTTTTAGAGAATTTGGCAGTATGTCCAACCGGCCCCACTACCGCAGACCTCGTGTAACCACGCCAGCCCAGGACCTCCACATCAGAGGACTATTTCTGTCTGAAATAACGCCCTTTTGTGGGGAAAAATGCTTTCTGATTGGCTGGGCCTGGCTTAGCCCCTGCCCAGTCATGCAAAATCCATAGATTAGGGCCTAATGAATTTATTTCAATTGACTGATTTCCTTATATGAACAGTAACTCAGTAAAATCTTTGAAATTGTTGCATGTTGCGTTTATATTTTTGTTCAGTATAATTTACTGTAAAATTCAGTTCAGACAAATCTGGGCTATCCAAAACAATTCCTTGGATTTTTGCCTCATCCATTCTACTCATACACCTTTGTGACCACTTTCAGTGATCAAATACACTACATTGCCAAAATTATGTGGACACCTGCTTGTCGAACATCTCATTCCAAAATCATGGGCATTAATATGGAGTTGGTCCCCACTTTGCTGCTATAACAGCCTCCACTCTTCTGGGAAGGCTTTCCACTAGATGTTGGAACATTGCTGCGGGGACTTGCTTCCATTCATCCACAAGAGCATTAGTGAGGTCAGGCACTGATGTTGGCCGATTACGCCTGGATCGCAGTCGGCATTCCAATTCATCCCAAAGGTGTTCGATGGTGTAGAGGTCAGGGCTCTGTGCAGGCCAGTCAAGTTCTTCCACACCAATCTCAACAAACCATTTCTGTATGGACCTCGCTTTGTGCATGGGGGCATTGTCATGCTGAAACAGGAAAGGGCCTTCCACAAACTGTTGCCACAAAGTTGGAAGCACAGAATCGTCTAGAATGTCATTGTATGCTGTAACGTTAAGATTTCCCTTCACTGGAACTAAGGGGCCTAGTCTGAACCATGAAAAACAGCCCCAGACCATTATTCCTCCTCCACCAAACTTTACAGTTGGCACTTTGCATTGGGGCAGGTAGCGCTCTCCTGGCATCCGCCAAACCCTGAATCGTCCGTCGGACTGCCAGATGGTGAAGCGTGATTCATCACTCCAGAGAACGTGTTTCCACTGCTCCAGAGTCCAATGGCGGCGAGCTTTACACCACTCCAGCCGATGCTTGGCATTGCGCATGGGTGATCTTAGGCTTGTGTGTGGCTGCTCGGCCATGGAAACCCATTTCATGAAGCTCCTGACAAACAGTTATTGTGCTGATGTTGCTTCCAGAGGCAGTTTGGAACTCGGTAGTGAGTGTTGCAACCGAGGACAGACGATTTCAATGTCCTACGCGCTTCAGCACTCGGCGGTCCCTTTCTGTGAGCTTGTGTGGCCTACCACTTCGCGGCTGAGCCGTTGTTGCTCCTAGACGTTTCCACTTCACAATAACACCACTTACAGTTGACCACGGCAGCTCTAGCAGCTCTACGATAATCGAAAATGTCAACAAGCATTTTGCTATGGCTGGCCATGCTTTCCACCTGGCTACCCCTACCCCGGCCACCAGCTCTGCACCCTTCGCTGCAACTTGCCCATGCCCTCCCCCGCTTCCTCTTCACCCAAATTCAGATAGCTGATGTTCTGAAAGAGCTGCATAATCTGGACCCCTACAAATCAGCTGGGCTAGACAATCTGGACCCTTTCTTTCTAAAAATTAGCCGCCGAAATTGTCGCAACCCCTATTACCAGCCTGTTCAACCTCTCTTTCGTATCGTCTGAGATCCCCAGAGATTGGAAAGCTGCCGCGGTCATCCCCCTCTTCAAAGGGGGTGACACTCTAGATCCAAACTGTTACAGACCTATATCCATCCTGCCCTGCCTTTCGATAGTATTTGAAAGCCAAGTTAACAAACAGATCACCGACCATTTCGAATCCCACCGTACCTGGTCCTCTGTAGCTCAATTGGTAGAGCATGGCGCTTGTAACGCCAGGGTAGTGGGTTCGATCCCCGGGACCACCCATATGTAAAAATGTATGCACACATGACTGTAAGTCGCTTTGGATAAAAGCGTCTGCTAAATGGCATATTATTATTATTCTCCGCTATGCAATCTGGTTTCCGAGCTGGTTATGGGTGCACCTCAGCCACGCTCAAGGTCCTAAACGATATTATAACCGCGATCCATAAAAGACAGTACTGTGCAGCCGTCTTCATCGACCTGGCCAAGGCTTTCGACTCCGTCAATCACCGCATTCTTATTGGCAGACTAAATAGCCTTGGTTTCTCAAATGACTGCCTCGCCTGGTTCACCAAATACTTCTCAGATAGAGTTCAATGTACCAAATCGGAGGGCCTGTTGTCTGGACCTCTGGCAGTCTCTATGGGGGTGCCACAGGGTTCAATTCTCGGGCCGACTCTATTCTCTGTGTATATCAATGATGTCGCTCTTGCTGCTGGTGACTCTCAGATCCACCTCTACGCAGACAACACCATTTTGTATACATCTGGCCCTGATTGGACACTGTGTTAACAAACCTCCAAACGAGCTTCAATGCCATACAGCACTCCTTCCGTAGCCTCCAACTGCTCTTAAATGCTAGTAAAACTAAATGCATGCTCTTCAATCGAACGCTGCTTGCACCCGCCCGACTAGAATCACTACTCTCGGCGGGTCTGACTTAGAATATGTGGACAACTACAAATACCTAGGTGTCTGGTTAGACCGTAAACTCTCCTTCCAGACTCACATTAAGCATCTCTGTCACAGCGACGTGTATGCGGTAGGCGAAGTCAAGAGCAGGACACCGAGCTACTGGCAGAAACTTTACTGGATGCAGTGCAAAATACAAAGTACACAGGCAACCTCAAACAGCGAGGAAATAATAAGGCATGGGCAACTGCCGCAAAGACCAAAACAATTACGCACAATACACAATGAGAAACAGAGGGTTATAAAGGGAACACAATAAAACATAATGGGAAACAGGTGTAAACAATAAAGACCAAACAAGACAAACACCGAAACATCGATCGGCAGCAGCTAGTACTCCGGGGACGACGAACGCCGAAGCCTGCCCGAGCAAGGAGGAGGAGCAGCCTCGGCTGAATCCATGACAGTACCCACCCCCTTGACTCTGGTGGAAATCCCTCAACATGGAGGGATCTAGGATGTCCCTCCTAGGGACCCAGCACCGTTCCTCCGGACCGTAC